CGTTATCCGTGTGCCTCCTCAATGGGATTGGGTGAAAACTTTGAGGATGGCCGTTTTCTCCTGTCCCTGAGGCCGAATCGGACAACCAGGGGGTGCAATCGAAAGCTCTCGGCGTCAGCTTTCAGATTCCGAGCTCAGAAACGGGCTCCCGGCGCTCATTTCGGAGTAATCGGGCCAAAAAGAGGCGAATCGGGAAATTCCGTAAAAAACGGATTTTAGCCGGGGAAAAGATAATTTTTTTAAGGCAAGATGCACCCCTTCGATTTTCCCGGTTTGATGGCTAATGGTCGGTAGACACTTGGGACTTCTATCTGACATAGTATCAAAGGTGCGTCTCGTGTAGAAGTACTAGAACGGAGTATTAGAAAACTGGGTTCCCGATTTTCAAAGCCTTAGAGGAGGCCGATTTGGTCGAGAGGGGTCTCAAACGAAAGCTCTCGTCGAGAGCTTTCGATCGCGCTATCGCACGACTCTGTAGCTATAGCCGTTCTCGAGATAGAAGGGGTTGAAGAAAAAACTTCTTCGGGCGTTTACGGGGACCACGAGGTGCGATCGGATCCGGGACCATGCGGAAAATGTTCCTCTCGAAATTACCTTTCGATTGAGACCCCACTCGATCAGATCGGCTTCGGAGGGCAGAATTTGCATAGGTTTTGCCCAGACCCTTTGACTTCGACTGCGCGGGTGAAGGAGATACTCGTGAGAATAAAGCGAATTCTTAAAAAAGTAGCCTTTGGCAATTCATCGGAACACCACGAGGCTGTAGAAATGAAGCTGTGGAAATCAGTGAATGTGATAGAATTAATGCTTGAAAATCTGTCTGGTGGAAAGCGTTCTTTTCTCTGATCGATCAGCGTCAGCTGTTGTTCAAGGGAACCTTCCGGATGCCGATTCAAGCGAGATTCTCGGCTCGAAACGAGCTTCGAATTGCTCGGCGGCACTCTTGAGAGCGAACCGAAGTGTTGACTCGACTCTGGGGAGTCTTGGTCCCGCTGATGCTCATCATATGATGCGTAAGGTGCAGTCGGATCGAGGCCCTCGGCCAGCGGCTGACTTGACCGACATCGTATCAGTGGGATTGCCCAGCAACACGCAATGAGACGATTTCACTCGGAGCCGTCCGTTCAACCGTCTATTTCTTTAACTCTTCAGGAAATTAGGTAGGTAGACCGATAAGCCACTCAGGCTGTCTGGTCGATGCTTGTGCTAGACGGTCGAGGACCGCTTCCGTTCATGAGTAAGCGCATACACATTGATATGCGAGAAATTACCCCTCGCTCGATGACGCTCTGATCATCCCAACTGTGTGAGCTTGGGACAAAATCGTTACGCTCATCCTGAGGAGGTGCAGCTCTGAGACTCACGTTGATACGCACCATTGAACTCGAGAGGATTCCCCAGTCCGCACCTCGATGATAATCACAGCCGCGACTTCCCCCAGATCTTCGTCTCTTGCGTCCTCGACGCCGGGCATTGGTAGATACTAGAGCCTGGAACTCCAGGCAGAATGCCATAAACGCCTCTTTTTGCCTTATACCGGCTTTTCGGCGACATTTCGCCTTTTCTACGTTTTTTCGAGGCATCTTGCCTTTTCCACCCTGAAATCGAGTTCGAATGTTGCTCGGCAGGGTTTTTTCGGGCAAGACTTCAACCTGGTGACCGGAGAAAGCTACATTTGCTCTTCTAGTCCGACTACGTATCGGACCAAAACTTTTCTCGGTATTATGGAATCGATCCCCGAGACTCTTTCGCGCGAGAATTCCCTCCGCCACGAATCCGGTTTTGCGCTGAGCTCCACCATGTCGTCGCAATTTGCGTCTCGGCCCACGGACTCTCGAGGGATCGCTGCAGAATCTTGATAGGATCCAGAGGAATAACTGAAAATCTCGAAAGCAACGATGCCACCGAAACCGGAAGGTCGGAAGACTTGCTGGAGCTCTCATGTTCCGAATACGCTTCTTTGGTCACCGTGAATTAGGGGCGCTCTTTTTCTCGTCATGAAGCCCTCTGATCATCGACATGGCCTTACTACCGGAAATTCGAGATACCAAGCTATCGCTGGTTGTAATGCTCAAATCCTCATTTGAGAGGTATATTCGATAAGAATTTCGATATTAACCCGAGCATCACTAATGTTTTCCGATGATTTTCAGTGCCTTTTTCCTCGTTTGTTTATGGTGCCTTTTCCTTCGATTTTCGGTGCCTTTTTGCCTGCCTATTCTCGGGTTTCTCAGTGCCTGAACGTCCGGGCCCTAGTAGATACTCTTTCGAATGAGATCGCCCCCCCGGAATTGTTTCCAAGCGAGCTCTGAATCGTTCTCTCCCTCAATGCCATTGTAAGAACGCCTGATCTCTGTATTTGCCCAGTTGTTCTCTTGGGGGTCTATGACGACCCCCGGAGGAAAGGGTTTCGAAAGGTACTCAAACCCAATGAAGGAGGATCCCGCTGAATCGCTCACCGGAAATAATTATCTCTTCTCGCGCCAGCCGGAGCGATTCATCCCCGACCCTCAATGGTTCAAAGCCACTTCCCGCCGCGCCGTCAGCATGGGCGAAGCGACGATATAAATGGTAGGGTCTGCGGACTTAGAAAATTAGGGTGCCGTACTGCCTGACTTTGCTCGAGCTTGAAGCAGAGATCATCAGCATCATTGTATCCTTCCTCCCGCCGTCATCAGATTCCATTTTTGTGGAATTTCGCCCTGCGTCCGGTCAAAACATTTCCCCTCATAGTCGTGACATAAATACAAGCGACCGCTGTCTTGACCATACCTAGAAGGATAAGGAAGTACGCAGTGCGATCGTTCAATCATCGAAGTTGAAGTTCGCGTCCGTTGACGTCTCGAAAGCGCCAGTGACGCTGTTTGTCAACAGTATACAGCTGATTTCTTGGCGGCAAAGAAACTCAAAAAACTTCGGAGACTTCGCAACGAGCGCAAAGTGAGTCAGCGTACGCGTGGACTGAGGAGAGAATCTCGACTCGGCAGCAGCCGTCGATCCTGTCGATACTTTGAGCCTGGGCGTAGCATCTAAACATTCCCATAAGAGGCCTTCTCGAAAGGCAACTGTCGAGAGCGTACTCGACCTTTCTCTCTTCCTCTCCATATCTAAACTACTCCGCGGGTTCCTCCAGAGGCTGAATATTTCGATCCCTGTTAATAATTTCCCGTTCGATTTCGATCAGGCCACCCGGGTCGCGTCAATTCAGAAGTGCGCAGAAGAGGCCCTTTTGAAAGCCGAAGCACGATTTTCGCCAGGAAGTGTTTGGTTAAGACCACATCTAGTCAACTTTCGGAGTTGGCCGTCTTCTGAGCGTGAAATCCGGCGCCACAGTCAGTGGCGATGGCGTCCAGGGTTCAAGACCCTCTGAAAATGGACAGGATATCCAAATCTCTCATGGTGCTGAGAGTCCTCCTGTAAGTACTCAGTGTTCCCCTCTCTGAGGCTGGGCATCACTAATTCGGTCTACCTGTATCGACACGTCTTACACCCATGATAGGAAACAATCGTCGTATTTTCCTCCGAGCCGTGAACGTTTTAAATTCTAATCTTCTTCCGCTCATCCTTGTGTAGAGTCTTCCTGCCTCAATTCGGCTACATCCATCCGGACGAGTTCTTCCAGTCAACCGAGATCACGGCGGGAGAAGTACTCACGACCGATGCGTACAGACCGTGGGAGTTCACAACGGATAAACCGCTTCGATGTTCTGTGTTTGTGCATATGTTTGCGTACTTACCCTTCCGAATGCTGAGCTATTTCGGGAGTACACCTTATTGGAGACTAGTTCTCCCTCGCTTGGTGGCCTGCACACTGTCGTTCGTGGTTGATTATGTCGTCTACAAGATCCGTGGTGTTGCGGCGTTGAAAGTTGTTGCTACCTCATATTTGGCCCTGGTGTATTTCACGAGAACATTTACCAATGTCACGGAAACCGTCCTGTTTGCCTTGCTCATTTTGCTGTCCTTCCCAGTGGGCAAAGTCGAAACGTCGGAACTGATTCAGTCGGCGAAGAGCGAGACGGCCTCGGATGAGGTCGCCGAGTCGTCAAAAAACGAAACCCGTTCAGAAGGAGGGAGTCCCAGTAAGAAAAGAGTGGAATTTTTGGCGGCCGAGAAGTCCGAAACGAAAGAGGGAGAACGAGAAGACCCTCCAACGTCGGAACCTCCGCAGCGTTTGAAACCGCAGTTTCACTCATGTTCCTCGGAGTTCCTATACGTGACGGTGATTGTGTGCGGTCTCTTCAATCGGCCCACATTCGTGTGCTTCGCACTGACGCCTTTCTTGTTCCGTTTTTATTCGACGAACACTTTCAAAGGATTCGTGCTCAGTTGTATTCGCATGTCGCTGTACGCCGTGGTTCCGTGTTGCTTTTTCATCGTCGTAGACTCGATCTATTACAAGAGTCTAGATGAATTCCTCGTAGATCCCAAATCTAACCTCGTAATAACCCCACTGAATTTCCTATTATACAACAGTATCAGCGACAATCTCGCAAACCATGGTCTGCATCCGCGCTGGCTTCATATCGCTATCAATATTCCCCTGCTCTTCGGACTGCACTCTGTGTACATATATCGAGACATTTATAGATTGATCCTGAAGCGCGAGAATTTCCAAATCGAGAAATTCTCGCTGCATATGTGCACGATCGTTCCCCTCCTGATGCTCTCGGCCTTCCCGCATCAAGAACCGCGATTCCTACTCCCCCTCTTGATCCCTTTCGCGTTGAGGAACGCTTTCAAACTCACGCAGTCAGGTCGCTTCAGCGGAATGTGGTATGCCTTCAATCTCTACATGTTCCTCTTCTTCGCCTTCGCTCATCAGGCGGGTGTGGTTCCGATGCAGATGCACACACAGGAAAGCGGCAAAGTTGTCTATTTCCATACGTACATGCCGCCGAGACACTTGACGCCGAACGGAGTCGACAGAGAAATCATTGATCTCAAAGAAGCTAACCACAGGGTTCTGGAAGAGACTCTGCAAAAACATCGTGAGGGCTATTTGGTGTATCCGGCAGGCGTGCAATCCATCGTAAGCGAGGCCATGACTACTGCGTACTGCACGTCGACCGAAACAATGAGTCTGTTCCCCCACGTGGCGACGGAATATCTGCCGGCTGTTCTCCAACGTTGCGGATTCGGATTGCAGTGTCTGTTTTTCGACTCGCTGAGCTTGAAGAGGATCAAGTTCCTCTGTGAAGCCGCCTTCTAATCAAAATACGCAGCTGATTGGCTTTTGGAATGAAATTCCTATGGTTCGACTCGGAAATTCTCAAGAGCTTGCCGGAGCCTATCTGCGACTGCAGGTGTGCCAATTGAACTTCGAAGTCAAAAAAGAGCCAATGCTGATACCATATACGGAGTTTTTAAGGAGATATACGATGAACTAACTTATTATCACACGATTTCTCACATACCCTCAAGAAGATCGCCTCGATTGAGATCAGCTGCTTACCAATAGGGTTCGCACGTCTTGTAGAGGTTCATACTTATCGTAGAAGCTTGAGGACGGCTTGATGATGATCTCGAATCTCAGACTCTGGATCCTCGAGCATAGCGTCTTTGACCCGGTCTCATTCATCTTGTTAGGTAGAAAATGCTTTTTTGGCAGCCCAAACTCATAAACCCAAAATATTAAATAGATTAATTTTATCGTCGCCTTTATCCGGAGGGTTTAGCCGGGGACCCTTTTCACTGTACACAGCATGGATCGCTCATAGCACTTTCTAAGCAGGAGGACTGTCTTTCTGCTCGGGGAGTGCTCCATAATTATGGCGCGATTCGAAATATTGCAGGCGAGTCAGGCGTGTTGTTGGAAAATCGAGAAACTCTGAATAAAGTCGATTAGGTTAAAAATCCGAATAAATTCCGCTCATCAACTTGGGGGATAGCGTGATACGCAGGCTCTATCGTGTTCATGGGCGAATGCCTTGCCTCTGACTCGCGTCAAGTCGCGGTGTCTGCAGCGTCCTAACTACGACGCTTCAGCAGCGGGTCTTTGCCCCCCTCCAAAAACGCCGCTTTCGTATATTGCGGTCTATGGGGATCATCATCATGATTCTGCCCCCCGGAAACCTTGCTGGCCCCTCCCAGAAAAAAATCCTATATACGCGCCTGACCAATCCTATGTTACCAGTCTTGTTCCCTAGCCCGAACTCCCATCCGAACTCCGAGCTCGCTCAGGAGACTCCGTTCGCGTGGATTTTCGCTCTACTCAAGATTGGAGGACATGAACCCGAGTCCACGACCTGCGCGTCACCCAGAGAGCATCCTCGCCCCCTGCTGGGGCGTCGTCCCACGACGCACATCGGAGATCGGCTGCAGATCAGGAAAACGCGGAAAAGAGAAACTCTGAATAAAGTCGATTAGGTGAGAAATTCGAATAAATTCCGCTCATCAATTTGGGGGATAGCGTGATACGCAGGCTCTATCGTGTTCATGGGCGAATGCCTTGCCTCTGACTCGCTCCAGCAGCGGGTCATTCGTCCTTGTACCAGGGATATTATCGAGCATCGCGATTTCTCTACATCAGAGAGAACGATACTCCACACGTTGCATCGACTTTTGGGGGGAAAGATACCCAGGTGTCCCGAGGAATGATTCCCTGCCAGCCAGTCTAATTCTACCACAAGGAGAATGGAATCGGCATCCTCCCTAGCATCAAGTCATCCAGAATAGGCAACTCATCGAATGCGACGTGGCGGGAGGCAGTCGGGGAGTGGGGTCACTCGGATGTACGCAGAATCGGGGATGTATTCTGTGATTCAGCAGGCACCCATCCTATGTTACCAGTTTTGTTCCTTAGCCCGAACTATCATCCGAACTCCGAGCTCTCTCAGGAGACTCCGTTAGCGTGTGTCTTCGCTCTACTCAAGATTGGAGGACATGAACCCGACTCCACGACCTGCGCGTCACCCAGAGAGCATCCTCGCCCCCTGCTGGGGCGTCGTTCCACGACGCACATCGGAGATCGGCTGCAGATGAGGAAAACGCGTGGGATTGAAAACGGTTCCACTTTATTTGAAAATGCGAGCTTGGGTTTCCAAAGGATCTCTTGCGCACCTTCGACAATGAATCTGATTGAATGCATCGTCAAATTATCAGCTTTATGTACAACACTAAATTCTGACGAACTGAATCACGAATTCTTTCTCGCAAGAGCACCTGAAGCTTTCGAATGCCGATTCTATTCTTTTTCCATCGGCATTTTCCGTCCACGTTTATGTAAAACGGGCCTCGAAAGGTTCCGAAGAGTACCGATCGGTCCGTATGGCACAATGGGAATGCTGGGAGCTCATTTTCAGTCCTCATTTCGTTTTCGCTCTTTGCAGCTCGTTTCCGCGGCTCTTATCCGATCGAATATTAAACCGTCCCCCGAGAAAATGTCCGTCTTCTGGACATGGTTTTACACAACTTTCTCAAAGCAAACCACTTTCCTCGTTTCCAAGCTCGAGGTAGCAATACACAAATCGACGATCGTCTCGTACCGGTCGTGCATCGACTCATCGGTTGAATAATGGGTTCTTCCTTCAGAATGAGGTATAAAAATACACAGAAAAACATACAAACCATCTTAAGTTGGCATTTGTACCTATTCATGAGTCGGACCATTTCGAATTCACTCACTTACAGCCTCTTGATTCTTATTATCGATCATTCAGCTCGCACTCAAAACTTTGGCACGGGTAACCCGAAAATTAGGGAATTGATAAAACATCCACGGACTTGTTTCCACAGATTCGCAGTAGGCGGCTGCATGGTCGCTTGATTTTGATTCTCAGTCAGTCGTCGATCGATTATTATCCTGTACATCATTTACTTACACCGAGAACCAGTGTGATCTAGGCAGCTGTTGGGAATGTGTCATTGCGGGGAAACTACGACTCGACGACGGGGAACAGGGCGGGGAGTGTGAGTGGGATTCATTCTACGAGAGCAGCACGGTGTCGTGAAAGCGAGCGGGAAGCCGTCGTCTAACTGGTTCTTCAATAATAACATTTTCACACATACGGCGTGAGCCTGGGTTCGGAGTCCAACAATCCGTGACTCGCCAAAAGAGTTGTTGATGTTAGGTACGAATGCGAGGGTGACGAATGATTACTCATTCGCACATGGAAATGCAACGGCGAGGGCTGCGCCGAAAATGGAGAGTTGTACACGGAAGCGTCCTGATGGTAATGGCTCAATGACTTCGCTCGACGTGTTTTGAAGTTGAACTTGGACCGTGATCGATGCTTCGAGTGACTCCGCTCGCGGTCTCTGGAGTCTCTTTGGGTTCCGGTTGTCGCGGGGGCATCTTTGGAATGCTTCCGTTTCTTGCTGCGGTGACGCTGTTTCTTGATGTGGCTGGCTTTGGCCTTGATTGAGTTCTACACATTCGTATCGACGAAAATCTGTCCCACTTGGCTACTGATCTCACTAAATGAAGGTCGGTCGGTGACCAGGATCCTCCAACAGGATCTCATGAGGTCCTGCATCGCAGGAGGGCATTTGGCTGGGGGTTCCCATTGAATCTCGTGAACTTCGAGCCGGTACAGGAAGTCGGGGTTTGAAATGTCCTCGTGAGGCATCTGAGCCTGCGTGAAGACCTCCCAACAGAAAACGGCGTACGCATAGACGTCACTTTTGGAACTCCACTGATCTTCGATTACCGCCTCGGCCGGCGCCCATTTCAATGGGACCAGCTGGTCACGGTAGTGGAAGTACTCCGCAGAGTAGGTGTCTGGAAAATGAATTCCCGTTAGGCACGCTCCGTTTTCTGGGAACTTCTGGCGAGGATAATGGCGAATATATATCGAAATCGGACTGACTGGAGAGGATCAAAATAATAATCGAGGCTCCACCTCTCACCTTTGCTCAAACTGGGGCTCGATATCTTTACATCGAGCTTCGACGTGACTAGACAATTCCGAGTTGCCAAATCTTTATGAACAAATCGATGATTGGAGAGATATTCCATCGCTAGAGCGACCTGATGGCACACGCCCATGCATTGGGCCGATGTCAAAGGTGGTGGATGACTCCCTTGGCTTGTTGGAGCATCTTTCCTGGTCGCAGCCAAGAATCTTTTCAGATCGCCCCAGTCCGTGTAATCATACATCACGAGCAGGGGTTCGGTTTCGGCGCACATGCCGACGACCCGACAGATTCCTTGATGATTCAGATTCGTGAACATTTCTGCCTGGCGCCGGAACTCCATTTTCGTCGCTTCCTCTTGCGAATGGAGCGACTTCACCATGACGGTTTCTTCTGCGATGCCTTCGGAGGAAGGAAGAACTCGTCTGGACCCGGAATTTCTCACAATGTACTTATATCGAGGCTCATTCCAACTACGGTTCGAATTCAAGATGTGGGAGAGTGCGGCCCCCTTTTCGAAGGACGTTGAACGTATTGGATGACCGATGTACTCACCGGCTGCTTTGGCGAGGTACACGTCCCCGAAGTCGCCTCGACCCAAAAGCATAATCGTACTGAGATCTTTCCTAGGGAAATGCAATCTTTCAACGGATAGTTTGCTGTTTTTTGAGGTCACCGATCCGGATTCGGAGGAGCCCGCCGAGGGTAGGAGTTTGTTGCTCTGTAGTTCTCCAGAACCTACAGCACCGTCCAATCGGTTCTCCTCGTCTGAACTGTTCCCTGTGACGGAGAATAAATGCGAATGATTTTCAGCGATGAACAGAGCAACGGCGACGGGTGCATTCGTTGAGCAAATCGATAATAATGAGCCGACGAAAGCTTTCGCACAAACCTTTTGGTCTACTGCCCAGCAAGGCCGCCTTCCTCCGGGCTCTCCTTACTCGGCAATACAACATCAGCGACAAGACGAGAATCATGTAGACCCCTGCGGCTCCTAACGTGATTCCTATCGTCTTGGAGATAGTTCCGTCGCCTGAATCCCCTGAAAGATTGTACGAAGGTACGAAATCTTTCGAAGATGCGACGACAAGTGAGACCTCAGTTCGATTGAAACCTCCGCGGTTTCCGGCCGTGCAGCCGTACTGGCCCGTGTCCCTCATGTAGGCTTCTTGAATGAAGAGGGTTCCTGAAAGGATCATGACAGTTATGTTCGGAAACCACGAGACGTCATAGGACGAAGCAGATGAATGAGCGGAGAAGCTCTGGTGAGCGTCGATGCTTCTTGAATTATTCAATCGCGATATTAAAAATGGAGATGGGCGAAATGAATTTTCGTCAAGTCGCTTACCATTGTGGAGGATTTGAATACGTGGCGTTTCGTGAGAAAGAGAATTCGCCCTCGAGTTTCGGTCCCAATGAATATGAGGTTCCGGATCCCCCTCAGCTTGACAATTCAGCCAGACAGGATGTCCTTCGAGGACTTCGGTCGAGTTCGGGAAAACGGTGAAACGAGGCGACACTGGAAGAAGACAGGAAGGTCCTCGATTTAATCTTTCCTCGAGAATCCCTCGGACAGGACGTCTCTTCTGCTCTCCATGTCCAAACATGAATATATATTGAGGGTACCGAAAGCTTATGTATCGGATGCGGTGAGCCTCCGTCGAAAGCGTAGATTTCCGAATCGGAGCGTCTTCTCCACTCACCTCCCACAGTCACGGTGATTGTCACGTTTATGGATTCTGTTGCCGTGGAGGCTACACAGCGGTACTGGCCACCGTCGTCATAGGTCACAGGCTCGAAAATGAGCACGTTGTTTTCCTGGAAGGTAGAATGACTTCATATCGTCTCACGGAGTAGTACTCGTCGATGCGACATGACGCTGCGTTCATGAACGCATTCATCGCAGAATCCGCTCGCAACTCCCGCGAGAATAAAAACGATTAAAATACCTGTCTCAAATTTGTGGGCAATGGAACCGAGCGTTGCTCATCCTCAGGATTGATCTTGACCCATCTCACAATCGCGCGCTGAGCCCCCCTGGATCTACAGGGAATCCGACCGATGCTCTTGAACTCGAGATTCGTGTTCATGGGCACGGGATAGAACTTCAGCCTCTCTGGAATTCGTAGAAAAGTCCGTCAGGGTCGAATTTGCAGGTAAGAATATTGCGTTCACCGTGGGACGAAGGCCCCATTCGCCATCGGATTGAGCGTCTCTCGTTCAATGGAAGCATTCTTTCCAAGGCCGAGGTCGCCGTCCCAGCGTCACGTACGGAAAAAATCATGGTCGATATTCGATAAAATGCAACACCAAGATAAGGCGCGCTCAGACGTAGGGTTCATCTTCAGACTGCGGACTCCATATTCCGACTTTCTCCCTTCAAAGCGAACGAGGCACAGGGGACCGGGCAGGGACGGTCGAGAGCCTTCATTTGTCTCTCTAATGACATTCTTGTCTTTCACTCCGATAATCTTAATCTCCGACATCCTCGACCGAGTTCCGCTCGAGATGAGGGGTGTTTTCTCTGCGGGAATCTCCTCCCGATCAACGACAACCGTACTCGCATTGACGACGACGATTGCTTGTGGAAGCAGGTGAAGATGATGGCTGGCAATCCGAGTTTGGACAGAATATTTTTGAATTTTCAATTCTACTCACCGATCACTTCGACTACGACAGGTTTTGACACGACCGTAGGGAATCCTTTTGAAGAAACGGAACAGAGATATCTGCCGGCGTCTCTCATCGTGATATTCTTCAAGATCAGAGCACCTTTCTCCGGATCGAAATCTAAAGACACCATCGGCGAATCGACGTTAGTCCACGTAACAGATGTCAGAGGCCAAGCTGACGCTCTGAACGAACACTTGAGCACATGAGATGTTCCCTCGTGGAGCTGCAGCTTACTGCTGATATGGTCATGTACTTCGGGGGGTGCTGGAAAGAGAGATCCGAACACTTATTGACACCTTGCCCAGGAGAACGGGTCCGATCGCGGGGCCACTCCGAGCGAAGGCTCGCAGAATTTCGGGCGATTTTTGAAAAAAATAACAGCAGCGAGAACGGCGGTAACTTTCTACCGGACCGAGTCGCATTCCAGAGCCGAATTCGAGCCCCGGCCGACTCGACTCCGACTGACTCTCCGCCCGCTGGTCCGCCTCGTGTTTGCAGTCGAATCGGCGCGTAGACCACTGTGATGAAATTGTATTCTCCACTCGGTAGTGGCTTCATACGTGCTCGGCGCCTACCGCAAAAGCCCACAGATGAAATGAACTCATGAGAAAGCGCAGAAGCCGCCGCTAGCGGGGACGAGGTATTCCAGTCGACGCGGGGGGGTAATGGCCGTTATAAATGGGATATCATTCCAGATCCGTCCGGCCCACCCTCACTCAGCAGAGGATCAAGCGCTTTTTACAATAGCCGCGCAACTTACTTTGGGGCTGCTCAACAATTTCGTGCGTGCTTGCGTCTCAATCAAAATACACATATATATCTATGAGTATATGAATAAAAGATTCGAGCAGAAGTTCGAGGAGGGGCTGGGGAGGCTAGGTAGGGTAGGGCGGGGATAAACATATTTTTTCTTAAGCAGCATCGTGGAGTTCCAGACAAGAAGTCGAGCCTGCTGACGAGGGATTCTCGGGGGTTCTGTTCCCATCTCTTTCGAGCCTCGCGTATACTCGCTCGCACCACTCTGATGTAAGAGAAAAGTTTCCGCGGCCCGGAATCATGTGATCTCGAGTCGAGAGGGAACTAGGTCCGAGCTTTGAGTAAATTAAAACTTCGAGAGACGCTGGTCCAAAAATGTTTCAAGCAAATTAGACTTGAGGTCACTCCGCGCCCGTTATTCTTCGTCGGGAGAGCCTTGTCCATAGCCCACGATGCAGTTTTCATTCGACCCTCCACCCTCAAGGCGACTCTGAGTCTCACGAAGTCCCGAAATCACGCGCCGCATTCCCGCGATCCAAACGTGGCGGACAACAGAGGCTTCTCTCATCTCTAGTCCGATCTCTGACTGGGCTCCTCTCCGAATAATTGGTGTCTAGGTAACATAAATTTCATACTCACTCGTCACAACCAGTTGCACGGTCAAGGTCCTCTTGGCTGCAATGTTCTCTGCGTGGCAGGAATAGTTTCCTGCGTCTTGAAGTTTCACATGGTCTATCTGCAGCTCGGATTCCACGTTCACTCGGGTACGACCCGTATCCGCAACGACGGATCCGTTCGGGAACGTCCAATACCATTTCGGCGATGGCGTCCCTTCAGGTGGGAGACACAGAAGCCGGGCCTGACTCCCGAGTGCAACGACGTACATGAGGTCATCTAGCTGGGGTTCGATGGAAACTTCCGGCTCGAAATTTCCAATCCCTAGAAGTAGGACGAGTTGAATAGGTAGGAGCATAACGTTGGATGCATGCCCCGGATCGTGGACCGGGAGAGGCTGTGCGCTCAGCGCCGCACAACCGCTCACTGATCGTAATGCTTTTCGCTTCGATGTCCCCTCTCCAAGAAATGTGCGATTCTCGGAAATGCGACGCCATCAGGACAAAAGTTCCTTCTCCTCCGTCGAAGTCGGCCAAGGAGCCGCATACTAATATGAAACAGCCGCAGGAGCACTAGCAGCAGCAGCAGGCCGATCATCTCTGAGCCACCCCAGAGGCAAATTCAATTCGTGGCTGGCCGCCGAGCACACCGGTCGCTCAGGGTGGCTCGCCGGCCCTAAATGACCCTCTGAAATCTTTCCTTTACGACAATCACTTCGGTTGGGACTGCCCCCCACTATGCTCCAACGCGGGAAAGACACTGGTACAGAGCCCCACGAAGCACCCCAAAAATAATCCACCTCGCCAGGGTTGGTACCTACGACGGAGCAGGACGCAGGAGATCTGCGGAATATAGAGGAATGGAGAGGAATAAATTCTGTAGACTCACATGCGACGCCCATACGAGCGGCGAAAACTTGCTGAGGAACCCCCTTGTGCATGGGGATGCCCACACACTTGAACATTCCCTCGTCATTCTTCGCGACGTCGTTCAGCGTCAACGAGTTGTTCGGCCAGATAACCGTCCGGCTCCCATTGGTCAACGGTACGTCCTGATTGTGGGCATACCATTCCACGATGGCAGCGTCATCGAACACGCAGTCGAACGTGGCCTGAGAACCTTCGGCCACCTGCGTGTCCCTGGGTCGCACCCTTATCGATGGCACATGAGGTGCTGCAATAGATTTTCATTTGCTGACGACAACTGCGACACAATAGCTTTTCCTCTCCGCTCTCCCGCGCAACGACACGAGGCCGCTCGGGTCACACCGGTTGACGTCTGTGGCCGTGTCGAGCACTCACACGGGGAGCCCCACCGGATGAATATGTATGTAGAACCGATCGGGAAAAGAGCTGAGTGCGAATATGCTCAATGACTTAAATGCAGGTGATTAAAAATATTTTTTCAGCTCCATTGACGTCTTACCTTTCAGTTCGAGAACAAAATGGGTGGAACTCCAGACCAAAGCCACATCGTTGCTCGCCTTGCAAGAATACACTCCGTTGTTCCTGGCGGTCACATTCGCCAAGGTCATTTTGAAGTGTCGGAAAGAAACCTGAGCGCCACGGTGCATTCGCACCCCGTTATGGAACCATTCCGCGTGACGGGGCTCGGGGTTCCCGTCGACATCACAAGTCAAGCTCAGATCGGAGCCCGCGATCGGATTGCTGGGATGGTACAGCTTCACCTGAGCTTCACCCAACCCTGAAAATGAACCCGGAAGGATTAGAGGGACGATCCGAAGCGATCTCCGTTCCGAATGCCTCGATAAACGATCGAATAAACGACGTGAGGAATCCGATGAGTAGGTGTGTGAGATTTCCTCGTGGGGGATCGCTCTCTTAATCGCCAACGGAAACGACGCCTATTCCACACGCAAAGTATTCGCTTCCCCTTTCGGACCGGAATCGCCCAATGGTTTGTTGATACGGAGCAGTCGCGATCGGAACTGAGATAGACACCACTAAGTAAGTAGAGCAAAGAGACTCCATGAAGCGGTCATCAAGCTTTCACCGAAGTGTTCGATACCGACGAAGATCAAATCGCTTTTTCTCGGAACGCTTCCTCGTCTGAGTGAGATCAGCGTGCGTGAGTCATCCTCTGGCCCGACCCACATCCGAGTCGAATCATATGGACAACTGCCATCCCATGTAAACATGGAGACCACGGAAATTCCGTGAGCTGATGATGACCTCTCCGAAAGTCTGATAGATACATTTTTGGTCGCTACGTACATGAAGGGAATTTCCTAGAGGAGCGGTTCCCGATCCGCTCCCTCGCAGCGAGTCAGCCCGGGCGCGAATGGGATCTAATTCGGTCTCGTGGTGGGATACGGTGCTTTTTTTTACTTGTCATCAGCAAAGCACTCGAGGATTCGCCATTTGTCTGCTCATAAAGAGCTGTCTGGTTGTTCCTCCAACAAACGTCGGCTGATTGGATCATCAGGGGAAGCCACTTCAGCCAATATGAGGTGAATGAATAGAACCAACGAGCGTGCGAACGAGGAGCGAGAACACCCACAATACCCGCGCGGCAACATCTTTCGGAGGTGAACGTTCTCCTTGAGCGTTGGTTCCGCTTCCAGTTTTTGCCTCTCGGGCGCCCCGCCTACGCCCCCATTCATGCATATGACATAATGGTTCACGGAAAATCCTCCTCGACTTCGTCGAAGCTCCGAGACATTTTTCGCGCGGGGTCCGAGGAACTCCGACGAATATACGTATGCCCCCCGCCAGATTCGCGTGGTCATACACGGAATGACCAGCTGGGCCGGGGGGTCATGTGAGGGAAAGAGCGACTCTCGCGAGCCTGCCGGACCCATGACGGAGAGCCGCCCCCTTATGAAGGAGGTAGAAAAAAAATAGTAATCCATTGTGGGCAGCGTTCGGAAGCCCCAGGGCTGATCCCATCGGTTTTTCTGAGGCTCAAGAATATGGCACCCCGTGAACCTGCGGATCCCGGTCAGGTCCGCTCGGTGGTTCGTCGTCGGGAAATATCGTCGCTTGTCTTTCGTCTTCCACGATCTTCGCCGGACGTACGAGGGCTGCACCGAAATAGCGCGGCGAGCTTTCCGAGAATCATACCGTTCTGAGCCATTGCTCCCATTGATGCACAATGTGAGCTATTCTTGCGAAAAATTGAGTCGTATTTGCTTTCCGCCGCCGCCGTCGACCGACGTCTCGGGATTGCGCATACGGTGACGTGATTCAGAGGCGAGCTTCCCGAAGCAATCTTTGCGCGGGGCCGCGAGCTCGTTCGTTCCACCGTTGACCACACATACGTGAACGCACATGTGGTCAACTCACTGTGAGACGTCTGGTGGTAATTTGGACGCTGCCAGCCGCTACATTGCTCGCCGAAAAGTAGGTGAGCTCGGCTCAGTATTCTCGCAGCAAGCCGACTACCATGGGACTGTCGACTCTGCTCGCGAGCAGAGAGGGATTTTCGCCGAGATACAAACATATAACTCGGTATGGAGTGCCGAAAACTTCGAGTCGAGCTGTAAAGAACTTACGAGCTCACTTAGCTTTCGGCAAAAGTCTTTGTTCTTTCCGTGCGTTCCTTTCGGTTCCCGTTTCGTTTTCTCTTCTTTTTTGTGGGAGACTCACCGGGGGAACGGCGGTCTACATAGGTTATAGGCTGAGCGTGTTTAATGGAACAGGGAATACGAATCCTCCCGGTGCAGCTGGTTGCTGGTGCAGCATGTGCGGCTGCTGCTCACAGCCACCGACCGGGAAAGGGGATCGTCGCAGTCGACGCTGCCGTAGCGAGCGACCGCGCGGGCATTATCCTCGATGCACATCAAGGACGACACTGAGAAGAGCATCGACGGAGCCTCACCCAATTGAATTGGTCGCTCCGATTCGAGCGTTTTTTTCAACTCCGTGGATTTTCTGATTCTGAGCTGGCTCGTAAAGCCGAACGCACGTCGCCTCATCTGAGCCGTGGGCTCGGCGCATCTTCGGAACTCGCGAGCCCATCGCCGGGGCTTACGGAGCTCACCACTCGAATGGAATGAACCTACCGCCCACAAGGCACGGTACTCAACGCAGAGCCGAAGAGAAAGACAAAGAAAGGCCCAAAACCCCAAAAATTTCATTCGGGTCCTCTGCATGGATGTCTTAACATCGCCGAGGAAAAGCGAGCCGCTGCCTTGTTGCAGGAAGGCTTCGTTTGGATTTCCTCTCCCCTCTCACCTCCCTGAACGGTTGATGTAATCATGTGGACGACAGTGGAGGCAGTGCTTGAGGCATGGCTCGCTGCGTCCGGCCTGCTCAAGTTACCAAACTCAGTCGGCATGCAAGCCACCTGATAGCAAGCCGTTATTATGACATCATTGCTGCCTCCCTCGACCGCCCCGAAATATCGGATGGCTTTCCCTCCCGCCCGCCTCTCCGGACTGACCCGACAGCTCGCGGGGTCGAGAAGTCAACCAACCTTGTAGAGCGGGAAGGAACCTTGAGCGCTGTCCAGATGCGACTCGAGAGCCGCGACGCGAGAGCCCCAGCAGCTACTTAGAGGAATTCCTACGAGCTATGCTCTCGCGGACGAACACCAAAATACTTCGCATCGATGAATGTACAATATAGAAAGCCAATGCGTAGAGACTGCCAATATCGAGATGATTCTCGAATCGTACTGTCGGGAACTGACCAAATATGCCCATTTCGAATCGGATTCCACCTCTGAGTTCCCCCTGATACGGAATGATCCCTGATAATCGGTGGTGAAGCCGTTTCGCCCGATGACCTGAACCGCGGAAAATGATAACCGAACGGGGGGGGGACAGACAGGGGACGGGAGGGGGGACTGGCTGGCTGGCTTGCCGGCGCTGGACCGACAGACCGAGAAGGAAACAAAGCGGGAAACTGCGAAGGCAAGTCTTGGAAAGCGGACCGCCACGAATAAGAATCTAACGAATTTCAGTTTAGAGGCTCACTCTTAGTTTTTCGGCCTCTCTAGCTGTGCCTCCGTTTTTTTCAGAAGAATTCTCAGCGAGCCCATAGCGTGTTCCGCCGCAGTTTTTTTCCCAGCCCGTCCTCCCTCGTGTCTGTTTAACTTCCTCCGTGGTGTCCCAGCAGACCTGGGCCTGTCAGTGCTGCCGGTGCTGATGCCGGTGTTCCTACAGCACCCCGAAACCCGTGAGAAGCTTCTTGATGACTTCTCTTCATCGTAGCCATGGAGGGTAGCTTCGAATACAAAACTGCCCCGGCGTCAGACACTGAACCGGTCGGTCAGGCAAAAAGTCTCCAAATAAAGTCCGAGTATGACCTCATTAGCCTTGCGGGGACATTCTCATAAGACGAGACGACTATCTACGAATCCCACAGCCATACATGGGAGCCGCTGCCACATCGATCGGGACGCCGGCCGTCATACGTATACATCCGTCGAAAGGATACGGATCCGATTTTTTTCCTTCGCAATTCCCGCGAATTTCTCACTTGATTCCACAGCACCGGCTCGAAGGAGCTCCGTTGCCGAGCGCAACTGTCGATCGCAAGCGAAGTAAAACACCTCGAGACCCTACGGAGGTCGGCGATAGTTTTCTCCGCGGGGGCGAGGGTCGAAAAGCGGTCGGTATTTTGTGCCGCTACGAACAGCGCTGGTCTGCTCTAGTTCATAACACTCGCGGACATCTGTTTCAAGATGTATTGACAGCGTTTATGGCCACAGAGCTCCGCCGGAAATTTATAGAGGTGTTGTTGGGCGAGCGGCCGAAGCGCGGTCGAGGCGCAACTTGAAGTGAAGCAGATTCCAGAGACCGACCGAAAATTTGACCGTTTGTTCATTCTCGTGGCGCGCTAGCTTGACTCTCCGGCATGGTCGGATCCCCACATCTCCGAGCCTCGCGCCATGTTCCCTCAAATGTACCTAGATGAGCTACATCGCCGAAACTAATACAGCAGCACCAAGAGGGTGTCGAAAATAGCGAGAAGAATTTACAGAACATAAGGCGCGGCTTTTCCAAGGGAGAGCAGGAATTAAAACTTTAGTCTTAAAAAAATCGCCGGGAGCTTGCGGAACCCTTTATTCGCCGTAATCAAATATTTCCCCGCGGCTACATTCACATATAAAACTGAATAAGACGTTCTAAAGAGCAGATGGCAACTATCTGTCGGGGTAATCGGTGCAGGACCCGCTGAGCGAGGCACTAGAAGCGGCTCGGGAGCGAAGGGCTCGAGAGGACGCCTCGGGACGAGAGCGCGTCCGGTGCTGGACGGAGTTCCTGTATGCAGCGGTGCGCCGCCTCAGACGGTAAAAAATCTACGCAGGCGGCCGCCGACCGCCAAATTGCATTAGATTTTGCTGTTCTCTTATCAAAAGCCGTGCGCTCTGACACCGGATCGGATGGCACCCGCATATGTATAAAATGGGCAACAAGATTCATGAGCGGAGCTTTCTCGCCCATTGCGAGAGTCTTGGAAGCTCCCATTAGAGAATATCGTCGAATTCGATGCAGCTTCCCGTTCGTCGGTAACGGCGCCCCCATATACATTTCAGAAAGGACAGGATGACCGAGTCAGAGTGTTCTCCATCCTTCACCGAATCGATGCAGTCATTTTTGCCAGATAAGCACGCCGGAGGGAACTTCGGCTTGCACTGCTGCTTCCGCTGGCCTTGCAACATAGCTCCTTGTTGACGGAAGTAGGCTCACATTCCAGGGAGACTCCGTCTCAATAGAAGTTTAGGAGACAGAAGGC